CCTAGTTAGGAGAGTGTTATTCAGTGTGCCATGAGCTAAGCACATTCCAAAGACCAAGGCTGTCTCCTGGAGAGTAGGGCATCAGATGTGTTATGACTACTGCTTATCAGACATTAGACGTCACCAATAGACACCCTTGGCACATATAATAGAGTGATTTTCTTTGTTCTAGTTAGTTGATTCTCGAGACAACTCGGTTTGCTTGTATCCTGTGTTGATGCAAATAAATCTCTGCATGTTGGAGTGAAACGGTCAATTCTCTTTGCTTTCTGTGAGTCTGTGTCACCATTCTGGGTACCTTCAGTGGGAGTTTGTGGTCTCTCACTATAGTCAGATAGCTTAAAGTTTTTGTCAGATAGACATCGTGCATTGAGACGGAGAAATAAACCACAACAAATTCTTACAGAAAAGAAAATCTTCATTAGCTGCCCTCAATCAGTGTTAAAGGAAGATATATAGAATCTTAATTGTTAACTATCAGCTACAGCTTCTGTTTTTAAAGCTTATTTTTGGATTTTTATGGCCTTTAATTGGCAGTGACAGCTGAAGAGTGACACTAAAGTGGAGCGTAAGAGTGGTAGGACGACATGGAGCAAAGGGCCTCAGGTTGGAATAAACCTGAGCAGCTGCGGTAAGGACTCCGTCTTGGTACACAGGGCGCACGCTCTAACAGGTGAGGGCGCTCCTATAGAATAGAGTTTGATGAATTCTCCCTCTTATTATCACTAAACATACGGGTACATCTAACAATTAAAAGATAGCATAGCCACTGAAGTTCTGGCTGTGCAACCTGCTGCTTCCTCACCGTCCTCATATCTGCTTCCCTGATAGTGTTTGTCATAGTGCAGGCCATGAGGGTGGATGCTGTAGTTTCCATTAGCTTTATTCATGAATGTCACTCTGAGAGTATCTCCTTCCTCTGCCCTCAGGACTGGACCTGGACAAATGCAGAAGAACATTGTAACCAGACAATGTTGAAAGAACCTAGGTGAAAGACAAGGCACCAGTGTGCCAGTAAATACAATACAAAAGGGGAAGTATGAGATTTCTGGCAAACCAGACCTTACCTAAGAGTCCTAAGTGTTGAGACTCAGGTGTTCTTGGTTTTGTGGTGGTGAAGGTATTGTCTGTGTACTCTTTGTATATCACTTTCTTGTACTGACCTCCAATCCTTCCATCATCTCGGCCAAAAAATATCTCTGATGCCCTATGAGAGGAATAGGTGGGGGGTGTGGGAAGAATGATATGAAGTACAAGATACTGTAAGTAGCGGGGGCAGAGTAACTCCAGTGACGTGGATTGGAATAAATATGTGGCGCAGATGAAGCTGCAGTGTGTAATTCCTCACTACAGAAAAAATGAACAGAGCAAATATCTTGGCAGTCAGAGGGTTTCACTGTGTCAGGTCTGGGAAGAATAACAAAGAAACAAAGACACAATAACAACTGACTCAGACATTACTATTATCTTATTATCTACACCGTTTACTCTAGATACCACAAAACTGCCCCGCCACAGGAATGACCTGCTCATATTTAACCAGCGTTGTCCAGAGGCCAAACACACTGACAGACAACTTTGTTCAAAGGTTTGGCAAGCCTTAAAGGGATACAGTGAGTTAGTTAGCTCCCATACTTCCTTCTCCAAAACCACTAAAGTAATACTCTCTAAGTGTAAAATCTGTCTCTGATACAGACTTTTGGACTGTAGAGGCTTTGCTATAAAACACAGGGGTTATTTTAGAGACATTTGACGTATAGGCTATGTAATGATTTTATTACAGTTGTTCATTCACTGTGTGCTTGGTAAAAACTTTAGTAGAGTTTTTGAATTGCCAAATGATGACTAAACTTTTATGTTGCAGTAACCCTTGCTGTTACCGTTGATAGATTGGATGCCGCAATATAGCACTCATAATTTGATAAGGTGTGTGCCCACCTGTCGGCCTCAGTAAGGGATACGTTGTTAATTAGATCCTTTCCTGAGGGAGCATAGTTCCACAGAACTTCCTCTGCTGCTAGGTAGTAATTCCTCACAATACCGGGCATCTCTGTGGAGCTGTCCTTGCTGCCGCATGTATTCACTTCATAAAAGGCCTGCATCCCAGCTGGAATAGATCAATAGACACAAACAAAAACACTGCACAGACCATAATTCACATGTACAAAGTCAAATCTTGTGATGAAAATGGGCCTTCAGAGCCTTAGAAAGTCATAACGGCTGAAAATCAACCTGACAAAGGGTCAGATTTAAGAGTCAATAAGATAATAAATATTCCAGGGTTGAGTTAACACTTGAGACATGACATGACAATTCACTTCCAGAGCCTGAGAGGACATGTGAAACTACTTAAGATGTGATTTATAGTCTATAGTAAATATATTTGTATGAATGGGCCATGGAAAGCTTGGTATGATACAAACAAAATGTATTTCGCAAGTGTAAGCAATATTCATAAAATGCTGAGCAAATATGGCTCATGCTCACTGGACTTTGAACAGCTTTAAAATACCAGTCCTGGTGTGTTAAGAGAAGAAACATCTTGCTTTGAGGTCAGGTGCCCTACCCTGCAGATGGTCATTAACCTGGCAGGACAGCAGCCACTTTCCTGTTGATTTCGGGACCATCTCAGCAGTAGCAAATGTGGCTGGAAACAGGCTGAGGACGTCGGTGCGGTGGCCACGGTCCAGCAGTGTATTCCCGTGAAAAAAGGCAGAATGAATGTCCACCTCATTACCCATGCCAAACAAATGCCAGGCTACCAAACGGTTCTGGCATAGCTCTATTCCGGGCAGGTTACCAAACATGTACCCATTAATAGCTGTCAAACAGAGAAAAACACAGAAGTTAGAGGACAGGACAAAGATAGCAAATGAAAGCCTCTTTTATACACATTGTTTAAAGAATTAGTCATTTGAAATGACTCGTAATTCAGTAAATTAAAGAATGTAGGGGAAACTAGATGCAGGAGAGGTAAACCTTTATTTAATAATACACAATATTCTTCTGGCTCACCATGCATCCGGTTTGACTCCTCAAAGTCTGGGTCTTTTCGGTTGACCCCAGCTGGATCAAAGCAGTTCTGAATGTTGTCCTTCAAGTACCAGCTCAGGTTTTCATCCACCACATTAAACATCAGGAAGACATCCTGGTCCACATCATTTCGGACAGATTCTACCACAGACTCTGGATCATTAGTCTCCTTCAAGATTCCTGTGCTCATAGATATGACATAGACAAACATGCAGGATGGGAAGGGGTTGTTGTAGTCATTAAGGGCTGTTGGTGTAATTTACTTTTATAACATGGGTGTGGAGAAGCCTTTGGTGCTTGTAGCTAGCATAAAGGGACATATAAACGTGTCTGATTTGACTTGATTTGGCACGCATACAAACATTTGTTCTGATGTAAAAATAAACAAGGTTAAATAGCATGCGGTCATATATCTTCAGACCTTTCTTGCAAGTGAGCAGAGCCCCGATGAGTCCGGTGGCAATATCCCTGGGTGCATCCAAGTGAGAGTGGTAGACCCAGGTCAGGCAGTTAGCATCATCATCTGTGGGGGCAAATTCCGGTCTGACCTCCCAGCGGTAGGTGTAGCTGCCTCCCGGGGGAACACAGTCATCCATCTTCAACATGTTTGACGTCCCATCTGGATAGAGCGCCCCTAGTAGACAATTACAAGATGTTTATGTTCAGATCATTTTGTTTCCATTTGAGTTTAGAGAGCAGTTTAGCCTGTATGTGTTTATGTCAGTAGAAAACAAAGCTATGGTCTTGAAAAGCACAATTTTGTCTGAATTGAAATTGAATTGAAATTG